GAAAGTATTTGGAGTATTCATTTATGGGGTCTGATAAGGGACTGATCAAGAAAGGCGAAAATGACCTAAACTTGTGTTTTCATTTACTTGTTATTTATTGATTGTTCTTCATAATTAATAACATTAAATCTTGAAGTTGGATAATTGCCACATCTTTCACATCAGAAAAATTATGATTATTACTATTCTAACTATACTTTTGCAAAATGTAGTGAAGCTATTAAGAAAAATGGAAATAAAGAGGGTATGAACTTGTACAGTTACCAATTTATGTCTAACAAGGTTGGCATTAATATTTAAATATAACATGTGCTTTGTGGGCCTTCAAATTTGAAATAAATAAGAACCATACTTTTGGTGAGCCAAAATAAAATAATATGTCCTTTACACATGTATAATTAAGTACACAAACATGTGAGAGATATCACTTTAATGAAACTTTCTTGCTTCTAAATTTGGATGGCTATATGCCTCCACCTAGTGGCAATACATAAATAATGAATTTAAGTATATTAATTGAAAAGAAAATATCATCTTGTAGGAATATTTGCTTTTTGTTTGGCAGTTAATTAGGACACAAATAAATGAAATAATTTCATGGCCAATTTTTCTTTAACTACAATATGTAAACTTTAATTTAATATTATTGGGAAATTTATAAAAAAAACATAAAGAAAGCTACTAGAACAATTAAAATTCGAGGTCCATAAAATATTCTTTTTTTAAAGAAAAATATATTCACTCCTATTAGCTTCTCTTTTTTTCCAACGTATATATCACCAAGATTCCGCCGAAAGATTAAAAGACAAATTAATGTCCAAGATTTTCAAAAAGGAGACAGATGAAAATCTGTAATTATACGATGCAGATCTTAAAAGGATGTATTTTGACTCTTACACAAAACATAATATAAATAATGAGCCTTTTCTCAATTGAGATATTGAGACTTCAAATGCATGTGTAATGGCTGTAGTTGTTACCTCGAGTAGGGAAGATAAATGTGCATCACTTTATTTGAGAAGAATTATTACATATAAAAGCTATACATAGTGTTGTGAGGAGTATTTTCATAAGAAAAAAAAAATCCTAATTAGTTTTTGAAATTGTTTAAATTCCTCCATTGTTTGATTCAATCTTGATTTAGAGGTCAACTTTAGATTTCTTCTATTGTAGGAGGGTTTATGTATGGCAAGTATATATGCAATCATTCCACAAATTGTTGTTCTTTATTTTTAATTATAGGAGGGTTAATTGTTCCACTCATCATATTTTTGATTATTTGATTCTACAAGTATCAACACTAGGCGACGACTCACAGACACACACACATGCGAGTGTGTGTTGATCTCACGTCTCAAAATCGGTGTGGAAATTAGGTCGAACTAAACCATATTTATATATATATATATATATATATATAAATTTATTTTCATAATGAAACACCATATAACTTTTTATGCTATTTTAAAAGAATAAAAAATTATCATAAAAGTATATAGTCATTAAAAATATATATTTGTAATGATTAGATTTATCTAATACTAAACTCAAATCATCCTAATTGATGTTGCCCTTTTTCAAACTTCTTATAGGTCCTTTTTCACGTTTTCTCCCTTTTTTTTTGGATTGTTGTGGAGGACTTCTATATTTATTTATTTTAGAGGGTCCAATTTGCAATTATCCCAACTTCTCTCTCTCCCTCTCTGTCTTTTGGCCATTTATTAGCTCCAACATAAACAGAGAGTGACACATCTCAGATACATTGTTCAGTTATAAAGTTTAAATTATCCAACAAATATATGCATGATCACACCTACTTATCTTCTTCTCTTTAGCCATCTTTTGTCACTTTTTATTTTTTCACATTATTTAAGCATCACTTTAACTTTCACACTCCACAAAACAAATAACAATGACCCCATTAATGGCATCACTAAAGGCTTCTTCCTTTTAGGCAGCAAACTTGGGATATTCCAAAACGTGTGAGTGAGTGTTTGTTTCAAACTCCTGTTGTTATTTCTCTGTTTTTTTGTCTTTTTTTAAGGATTCTTCTTGGGATTTACCTAAACCCTGTTGATCATGTGCACTTATTTTGGTGCAGATTGGTTGCAGCTTAATAGAGATCAAGACCCTGCTTTTGAGCTATCTGAGCTTCACTCAAAATTGGAAATCTGTTTCGATAAAGTTCCGAAAATTTTGGAGCACTCATTGGAACTTGAGGTAATTGGGATTCATTTTCTGCTTTTTTTCTGACCCAGAAATCTTCAGTTTCTTTGTGTGTGTGTGTGTGTGTTTTTCAAAAAATCATACAGGTAGAACTTGAACAAAACTTTTATTTCTTTGATCAGTTGTTAAAAATATAACTTTTGCATAAATAAAATGAAATAACTAGAGATATACTTTCTTGTATAGAAACTTGTTTAAAAGAACACACTTTCTCAAAAGACAAAGATTCAAAATAGTTCCTTGCTAGTTCTTAGGTGAAA